CCCGTGGGAGTACCTTCCCGAGGTTGGGGCCATTCTGGAGTCAGCCATCAGGACGAGCTGATGGACTGGCATGTGGGGGAAGGGAAGAGACATAGCAAGGATGAGTCCAGGGTCTGGGGACTGGGCAGCTAGCTGGGCGATGGTGGAACCATCCACCACTCCGATGGTGAAGCAGCAGGTCCCAGGGTGAGAAATAGCACTGTGCATTGAATTTGCTGTTGGAAATGCCCACAGGGTACCCAATGGGAATAACTAGTGCAGTTGGACATTTGAGTCTGAAGCTTAGGGGAGAGGTTGGGCTGGTGATCCAGAAGGGATTAGACATCTACGTGAGACAGGGTGTGGCCACTTGAGGCCAGAGTGTAGACGGGGTAAAGGGCGACTGGGTTTCCAGAATTAAACCAAGACATCTAATCCAGGGGCCCACCTTATCATTGTTTGTCTGTCCCCAACTCCAGTCCCTGTTGTCAGGACAGCAATCGATGGTAAGCGCAGGGATCATGGACTTCCAGATGCTCTTATTCTCTTCCCTGGAAAGTTCTATCATCAATGGCCTTGCCCTGGGAAATGGGGTGGGGTGGTGGCAGGGAGCCCTGAAGGGAGGAAGACAGGAGTCCCCCCTTCAAGGTCCACCTGATCGGGGAAGAGTGCCCAAGTGGTTCCCCAAGCCTACTGTGTGCTTGGCAATGTTTTGAGTGCCTGACAAATGCTGTTTCTCTTAATTTTCTGCATCCTGAGGTGGATCCGATATTGTGCTCATTTTATAGATTGGAGTTTGACTTCCTAAGACATTGGAGGGGCAAGGCTGGGATGTGAAGTCACACCAACTCTCAGAATAGGCAATTTCTGCAACACACATGTTCAGGTGATCATTTATTCATTCAGCAAATGCAGCCTGTGTCCATACCCACACCCATTGCCGTGCCTAAGGTTGGGGGTCCTGTCTGAAGTCTGGGAGGTGGGCATGGGGCAGCAGAGCTCAATCTCTAAGGTCAGGGCTGGGATGCAGGCAGGGAGAGGGTCTGGGTGGGGGTGGGGAGGCTCTAGTTGGGATGTTGCTGAAGGCTTCCTGCAAGAGGGGAAGCTGGAGTGTGGGGGGAGGTCTCACCAAGTACCATAGAAATTGCAGAAAGGGCCTTCCTGGCAGAGGTCATGGCCGGTGCAGATGCTCTGAGGCTGGACCTCCTGGTGCTTCTAGTTGTGACCCTGCTGTGGTAAAGAGAAGTCATGGGGGCAGTTACGGTTTATCGCCTATAAAATGTAGATTAAAAAATAATTGTTTCCTTGGAAACTAATGGGAATAGGATTAGGATTGCACTGACCCCCTTGCAAGTTCCCAGTCCTGACCTGCAGGCCTGCCGGGCAGTATTAACTCCAAGAAGTGAAGGGATTGGCTTCGCTTGGGAGAGGACTGATAATAAAAGAGAACGATCACATTGGTCAAGAGGATGAGGCGGAGAAGGGGGCAAAGGGACGGGATTGGTCCAAGACGGAGTGGGGCTCTGAGGCGGGTCTCAGGCCAAAGTTCCCAGAGTGACCAGCAGGAGGCAGCTCTGGGCCACTGGGTGATTCCCAAGATTTGGGGAGACCTTGGAGCCAAGGACCCTCTGAAAGGGAGTTAGTTTATTTAACAAGTGCCTGCAGTGTGCCAGGTGCTGCCCAGAACTCTGGCTTAATCCCTAGTTGATCTGACGGGTAGGGAAACAGAATAAAAATGTTAAGTCACGTGTCGAAGATCCCATAGCCAGCAAATGGCAGAGCTGGGATTCAAACTCAAGCAGCCCACCTAGGCCCTTAATGCCTATGCTCCCCTGGCTCTCATTGCAACCCCCAGTCCCCTAAAATGATAGCTAAAAAAAAAAAGCAAGGGCTACCTTTCAATAACTACTGAGCTCTTCCTGTATGCATTATTTATGCACCATCTCCCCAGGGGTGTAGCCATTTCCACTTTACAGATGAGGAAACCGACGCACAAAGAAGTGATGCCAGTGTTAGGTGGAAAGGTAGACATGAGCAGCCACTGAAGAGGAAGATAAGGTTCAAGGAAAAACTGTCCAAACTGCCCAGGTAAGGGGTCCCTCATGATGACAACAAAGGCTTTGCAGGGAGATAACTTCTGGCCCACTGGGACCAGGCCAAACTGGTGCCAACCAGGTCCCAATACAGGCATAATTTTGTTAAAATAAAATAAGATTGCCGTTTTGCTTCCCCCCTCCAGCCAACCCCAGGCACCATGGGCTTTTCTGCACGCGTTTTGGGAAAAGACCCGCACCAAGAGGAATGGGTGTATAACCAGAACTGTCAATCAAATGACCTCACACTGTCAATCAAAGAAGTGCCTCCGGGCTAGGTCGCGATAACTAGACCCTCCCTTAAAAGTTCGGGGCCTGTGTCTACCTTGACGCTGGTCCTCTCTTCCCTTGGAGTGTATTCAAATAAAACTTTCTCTCGGCCTCGCTTGTGTGCCTGCCTTTCTAAACTTTGTTGCGTTGGGAACAAGAACTGGAGAAGAAACTCAACCCATAACGCTGGAAGCCAGGGTGATGCCGTCCAGCGTGAGACTCCAAGCAACAGCACGTGAGACGCGTCCACTGTTACGCCGGGGTCCAGCGCAGGGGAGGGGCAGGCAGGAACCCAAAGACTCTCCCCGCTCCGGATGCCTGCTGTCACCACTGCCCGCAACGGGGCCCCTCCACCTGCCCCAGCTCAAAGTTGTACCTTCATTCATGCCACCTCTCTGAGTCTTGCTTCCCCACTCCAAATTGGCTGGGGACTCCAGCACTTGCACCCAGACTGTAGGGTGGGCTAAGGAGAAGAGGCCTCAATGCTGTCACCTTTGACAGGTGGGAAAATGGCAGCTCAGAGACGCCAAGGCATTTACGCAAACTGCGCAGGCTGTAAGAGGCGCAGCTGGACTGGAACCCCAGGCTCTCATAACTCTAGAACTACCGTTAAGGCATTGTCAGGCAGGGCTCTGTTAGCCTTTGGTGCCTGGGTGGTTCCAAAGCACTCCAGGGTCCTAGGGAAGTGTTTGAGACCTAGGTACATACACACGAAGGCTCCAGAACGGAAAAGGAGAACTGTGAAGTTCAAATATATTGATGTTTAATTGCATTCTGGAACAGGATGTCAGCTCCATTGGGGTTAAAGGCGAAACATCTGGGAACAGGCCTGAGGTGGGATATGGTCTCCTGGGAAGACCCCAGCCAGATCACCACCAGCTAGCTAGCTACTCATGAGAGCTACCTGTCAATTTCCAAAGCAAAATGATAAATTACAAGAATAACTAGTTGGGCCAGCTGTTGAGTGCTTAGCAGGTACTGGGGCTGGTGTGTGCTACCTGTTTTAAGATGTGTAATTCCCACAGTGTACCTTCTAGGTGGTGGCTGGTATGATGCAGGTTCCACTAGGGATACCCCTTCCTCTCTCTTCCCCTGGGTAAGCTGCTTCCTCTCCTACTCTCATCTGAAATGCTCCCTTCTCCTAGAAACCTTCCTTGACCCCAAGGCTGGATGGAGACCTCCCATCGGGCACCCCATGTTCTCATCACACCAATTTTCTTGTCTATCTCCCAAATGAGGCAGCAAGCTCCTTAGAAGCCAGGACCGGTGTCAAAAAACAGTATCCCCATTGTCTGGTGTATAGTAGCTGTTTAGGGGCTCAAAAAATATATGTTGAGTGGAATAATTAATGAATTAATCTGGTCTAACAGATTAGGGAGCCCTCAGCCCTCCTAGCACAGTGAGGAGCTCCTGAGGGCAGGACTGGGGTCTCGTCCACTGCTGGCCCAACACGGGGTCTTACACACAGTGGGCGCTCTCTCTTCAGTGTGGAAGGGAGGAGGGAAGGGACACACTTCAGTTCTGATTATGACAGTGCTCAGTAGTGGCTTATGACACCACTCCATGGTCCTCTGCAACCCCCAGGAACCTAAACAGTTCCAGTCGGCCACCTGGCTTCTTCACTTGCTCTCTATCTAGGGCCTGCTGGGAGCAGGGGTTGGGGAGAGGAAGGGGGAGCGGAACAGTGTCCTGAGCCACTATTGGGTGTGCACAGCGCCCACTCACCCAATCCCCTGTGGGGGTGGAGCTTGGCTGGCCCCTGAGCCAGCAGTGGGAGAGCAGAGGGAACTACCTTTTCTGGGGAAGTCTTCGTACTCTTTGGCGGATTCTGGAAGCGGCTAAGGGCCCCGGGAGAAGATGGAAGCCTCCCTCCAAATGCAGCCTCCTTCCACTCATTCCCTCTCTCCACTACAACCGCACCCTGGCGATTCTACAGAAGGCACTGACTCCAAGCGGGAGCCCACTCCAACCAGGCTGCTCCCAGCCCCCTTTCCTTTGGCCCTGGAGCCTGGTGTTGAAGATCCCTGCCTCTAAACTGAGGACCTCTGGGTTCAAATCCTGGGTTTGTCAAGCACTGATCCGTGTGATCCTGGGCATGTGACTGACTGACACTCTCTAATCCTGTTCCCCACCTGTGCGATTGGATGGGTAGTTAGATGTGTTAATCTTATAAAATGCTTAGAACCAGCTCACAGTCATTTTCACAGTTAACTTTCCATGTCCTCTGTTCCTGTACCTTACATGGCTCCCTATGGCCCTCAGAGTAAAACCCACACCCCTTCCTGTGACCAGAATGCCCTACATGGCCCATCATCTACCAACCTCCCTGGCCTCACCTTCCCGCATTTCCTTGTCACTCCTTGCAGCCCCTCTCTGGGCTTTTCCTGTAGTTTTTTGTATTTTTTTAAATATAAAACCAAAAGGCTTTATTCCCTAGTTCTTATTCGCCTAGATTCTAACTGATTTGAAAATAAATTAAAGCATTGATTTCTTCCTCAAAAGTAAAATTTGGCACCATAATGTAATAGGGCCCCATATTTTAAATCCTGTACAAAGCAAGTATAGACTGCAGTTGGGTGATGAAAACAGGTCAGTGCTCTCAAAGCAGAGAGGCTGGCTAGAGTTTCTTTTCTCCACGTCCATTCCTTGGGTGTGTTGGGTGTCCTGCACACATATTGTCTACACGATGTGAAGGACTTTGAAAGCAGCAACAGCCTGTTTTTCCCTTTCGTGTCTGCTCTGCAGTATTTCCAGCAGGGAGATTTCAGGTGAAGTGTCTTCTTTTCCAGCATAGGTTGGAGTTTTCTTTTCTTTTGATGTTTGACCAGTTAGATTTGAAGGTTTGGGTTTGGGGATGGTCTTAGCATATTCCAAAGCCTTCTGCCGAGGGATGGCAGGTTTATTTTCAGTTTTTGCTGTTTGTGGCTTTGACAACGTGGAGAGCGCCTTCACGTTATTCTGCTTCACTTGCTTGGCATATTCCTTCTGTTGTATTAACTTCTGCATTTTGTGTCTGATGGACTCAAGGTCAGGTCCAAGGCCTCCAAGCTTCACGTCTCTTTTCTGATAATCTTTCAGCTTGGAACTCTTAATGCTGCTGCTTTTCCTAGGCTTTTTTCCTTTTTCCAGTTGAAGGTAATAGCCTTTGGAATTGCTACGACTCATTTTCATTTGGTTTCTATGGCTTCTCTCTGGACTGAAGTGGGATTCACTTTCTACCCTGGACAATATAGGTGGAAACGTGACGCCAGATAAGGCCCCTTCACTGGGCTGCCCCTCAGTCAGGTGCATTAAGGCTCGCTGGTGCTGCTCCATAATCTGCGTGAGCTGTGAATCTGGAGAAGCTCCAACAGGTTAGCTGTCAGAGGAAGAATGGAATTTCCATAATATTTCTAAATTCTTATACTTTGTCTCAGAATAAGTCTGTTTGGGTTGCTTCTTATTTTCAGTAGATCCACTGACATTGATGCTGGACACAGAATGCAAGCCCTTCCGGCTCAGGGGCACCTGTCTCTTAGGAAGTTCATTAACGTAGTTCAAGTCCATGTTGGAAAGAGTGTTGATGTGTGGCTGCTGATATGAAAATCTTTTCTCTTCTTGGTCTTTATGTCCTCTTTCTGTATTACCATTCATCACCAAGTGATAATCAGTAGAGTTTTTATATAATGCCTTATCAGAAGCCTGTGGTGGTGGAACGCATTTACTGGAGGTGACTTTGGGATTCTGGCTCCGGAGAGCATGTGAGTACTGCAGGTCATTGCGAGGGCATTCATGATCACGATCGTTTCACGCTTTACGGAAGTATCAGTAGGCTTATTTTGATTTTGTTGCTGTCTGGGAGTGCTTTTCTGGCTTCCTTGGCTGACCACCAGCTCTTCAGTCACCAAAGACTTCAGGCCAGGCTGGTGTTTATGCAGTTTTTGGATCTTGTGCTTGGTTGGTCTTCTGGAAGGTTGCTGGCCGTTGGTTGGTTCAGATGACTGCCCTCTTGGTAGACTGCTTGATTTTGCAGTTTCATATTGAGACCAGTGTTCCTGGTAATCCTTTAGCTGTTGGGCTCCGTCGTGCCATCTGTCTTCATGGCGGGCAGCAGCCTTCGCAGTCTCTCTGGCATTCTGAATAGACGTCTTGGCAGTTACTTTGATGCGGTAGGAAAACTGTTCTGGTTGAGGAAATCTGTTCCCCCGTCTTTTTGTTGTGAAGTCGAAGATAAGAGTCTGTTTTAGGAGTGGATAATCCCAAAGTCAGCTTGTTTTTTTCCACAAAATGTTGTCTGGACTTTCTCCGCCGAGGGCTACGGGATCCTGGCAGGAAAACCTCATTATGTGAACTTGAACTCTTAAAGTACCAAGAGAAGGTGCTAGACTTCGCTTCCAGGTCACTGTCGCTCAGCCCAGAAAATGGCTCGCTGCCGTAGGTGCCACGCTCATAGTTTGGGCTTAAAAATTCCCTACCAAGTAAAGAGGCTTCACTCTGTGGGCTCTCCTCCTGTTTGCCTTTCTCCTCCGAGAGTTCCATCGACGTCTCCTTGGAAGGATAGAGTGGTTCCAAAGGCAGATTTTCTGTACAGCTGTCTATAGACTCGGGTAATGTGTGTTTAGCCAATAACTTGCCCTCCTTTGTTTTATTCTTCCAGTTTGGGTCATATCGGAGGTCTGAATATTTGTCTTCTAGTGACTGTTGACTGTTTTTTATACCATCGTCCTGACTGTGGAGGATTTCCCTGCCTTCTGTCTGAGCTGCTCTGAAGCTGGCTTCCCCCTCTGTCTCACTCAGGCTTGCCCGCAGAGGGCTTGCTCCCTCTAAACTGTCAGCCTCCATATAGTTGTCCAGGGTTTGGTCTTCAAGTTCAGACTGGGACTTAATCTCTCGCGTGAGGCTTTCTGAATCAGATTCCAAGGAGTCTTTTGAAATCAGTAAGTCTTCTTTCTTAAAAGGTGGCTCTCTGGACTGGATCTTTAAGCTGGTATGAAGGGTAGGAGATTGGCTAGAGAGCTTGGGAGTTAATTTACAATGACTCATCTTGAAAAAAAACAGACGAACAGAGGAGATCTTGGTGGACAGGAGCAGTTGGCTGAATATTTACGGTTGTGGTTCACAAAAGCATTACCTGCGCCGAGCTCCGCCGCGACCTCGGCCTCCCGCATCCTCCGCACCGCCGCCAACCGGGCCCCGCCGCCTCCCTGGGCCACGCCCCGCCCGCGGCCCGGCGCTGCCCTAGAGACCGCCAACAGAGGCGTCCCGCGCCCGGCCTGGCAGGCTGCGGGCGGGGCGCCCAGGGAGGCCAGGGCCAGTGCCGGGGACAACCCTGCCCACCCAGCTCTCGGAGAGGTGCCTGGCCACCCTGACTTTCCAAAGTTGGAAAGCAAGGAAGGGCTTTTTCCTGTAGTTTTTGAACATACCCAGTCTGCTCTGGCCTCAGGGCCTTTGCAAATGCTGTGTCCCTGATCCCTGCCAAGAGGTGCTCTTCCTTCTCCAGAGGCTCCTCCTTGCACTGTCCCATACTTGTGCTCAACTCTTCCTCCTCCTTCAAGTTCTGACTCAAGTGCTGCTTCCCCCAGGAAGTCCTCCTAGGTCCCTCCAGGAAGAATTAGGTTGGGACATCCCTGTTCCATTCTCAGGTCCCTGTTTGTCTCAAATGCATGGACCACCATGAATAGACAACAAATTGAAGTCCTCCTCTATCATCACTGCACCACCAGGCCCAGGGGGAAAGGGCTATATGTTTTTCCTCCCATATATTTCACCTGGGGAAACTGAGGCTCCACTCAGAGGTGGCCTGGAGCAGGTCCAAGCATCTCTTTGAGGCAGAACCATTTCACCTTGGCCTCATTTAACCCTAGCAATATATTCTAAAGCAAAAACATTCAGCACCAGCTCCTGCTGTGGTGGAGCAAATTGGAGCCACACCCTCCTCTCAGGAGACCCCTATGGGCCCCCTGAAGAGCCCCCAAGGCCCCTCCACCCTGGGCCTCTTCAGCTAACTACTTCTCCTCCTAGCCCATCCATGATCCCTTGGGGACTCTGTGTCTGGTTCTGTCTTCCTCCAATCCGGGGACTCCTTGGCACAGGCTGGGGTGAGGTCAGCACAGAGGATGTGGCTGGAGAGGTGTTTGTGGAATTAATGAACGCATCATCTGCCTGATGAACTCCTGTGCACTCTTCAAAAGCCTAGCCCCAATGTCCCAAACAAGGCCCTCACTGAGTCCCCCATTCCCAACTCCTCCAGTTCCAGGCCCAAGACTGGGGGACATCTTTGGCCAGCTCTTCCTCCTGCAGACTGGGGTCTTTTTGGGGACCAGGACTGAGACCTCTCAGGGGCACAGGAAGTTGTCAGGAAGTATTTACTGAATGATGGATGAATGAATGAATGGATGAATGAATGAATACCCATTGCAGGACCTGGAGTCAGATGCCCTAGGTTCACACCCCAGTCAACATGCCAGACACTGAATCTGTCCCTTGACCTCTCTGAACCTCACTTTCCTGTTTTTTTAAATGGTTATACTCAGAGCCTGTGCTCCAGCTTGTTGCAAGGATGAAATGAACTAACACATAAATCATATGACCCCCAGGGAAGGGACCTCAGGCTCCTTCCTGTCTCAGACTGAGAGTGATCCACACCCAGAACCAGCAGTTTTGCACCCCTCCAAAGCACCCGGAACCAGATGCTGTCAACACACCCGCTTAGTGAATGTTGACAACGGAGTTGGTGAGAGAGGTGGGGAGGGAGGGAAGAAAGGCATATGTCCCAGTGGCTGAAACCTAAGTGTTGTTGAGGATGGAGGCGGCATGGCCTCCTCACAGAACACTTGGGAAAATGGTCTGGCCATTTCTTACGCATGACCCAGTCACTTCACCCCTGGGCGTTTACTGAGAGAGAATGGGGTATAGTCACCAAAAGACATATACAAAAAGGCTCAAAACAGCTTTATCCATGACAGCTGAAAACTAGGAACAAACCAAATGCCTGCTGACAGGTAAAATGGACAAATAGTGAAAAACTGGTACCCGGCAATTATAATCGTCATCATAACAATAAAAATCCCAAGTGTTTGCAAGGATGTGGAGACCCTGGAGCCCTCACACACTGTGGGTGGGGATGTAAAACAGTGCTGCTGCTGTGGAAGAATCAGGCAGCTCCCCAAAAGCTAAACATAGAATTACCATAGGACCCAGCAGTTCCACTCCTAGATATACACTCAAGAGAACTGAAAGCTGGTACTTGGCAAAAAGATGGAAACAATACAATTGTCTGCCAACAGATGAATGGATCAGCAAAAGTGTGGTAGATCCATACAAAGGAATAAAGTAGTCATACATGCTACAACATGGATGCATCTTGAAAACATTATGCTGAGTGAAGAAAGCCAGATGGAAATGGACACAAATTGTATGAAATATCCACAACAGGCAAGTTCAAAAAGACAGAAAGGAAGGGGTATGTGGGGGGGACTTGGTGAAGGGGGGAGCCTAGTAAACATAATGTTCTTCATGTAATTTTAGATTAATGATACCAAAATAAATATAAATAAATAAATAAAAGACAGAAAGGAGATTAGTGGCTGCCAGAGGTTGGGGACGGGGGTGGGAAATGACCGCTCATAGGGCTGCAGTCTCCGTTTAAGGAGATGAAGTTGTTTTGGATCTAGATGTTGGTGAGGGATGCACAACATTGTGAACTAAATGTGCTAGAAGTCACTAAATTACACTTTAAAATGGTTAAAATGATGTTATGTTACATGTGTTTTACCACGATTTAAAAATTTTAATGGCATTCACGAACACTACATAGTAATGAATAGAGGCAACACCCTCTCCTTATCACAACATGAGGAGCAAGAGAAGACAGACCGAGGAGCGGACCCCCTGTGTGATGCTATTTATATGAAGTCAAAACCGGGTAAAATTCACCTGCAGCGACACAGGTCAGGGCAATGGTGGCCTTGAGGGAGGGGAGAGTCAATGAAAGGCTGAAGGAACTGCCAGGGCCTGGGAATGTTCTAGGTTCCAATCCAAGGGTCATCACCCTCATCAGCCTCCACTCCTGACATTTGTGACCTTGACCATGCCTCTGGTAAACCTTGACAAAAATGTTAAAAAAGGGAAAAGAACTGTCAGGAGAAGGAAAGAGCATCCAGCAGTCTGGAAGGCCAAGAGTTCTGTTTTCCTGACGTGCGCCGTCACCTGACCCCGCTGCCAGCCTTGAATCAGTCATGCAGCTGAGAGTGGACAGAGGCAAGAGGCAGCAACCTGAGTCCAGGGCTTGGGGTTTCAGAAATGGTTCCTGGATGCTTCTTCATCTCTGGGGAAATGCTCTCCACTCTCCCCATGTCAAAGTCTCAATCTGGGAACAACCTAGGTAATGAAGGGCAGCAGCAGGCTGATCCTGCCTCCCAGAACTTCTCATTTCTGTTGATTTGTTTTGTACACCTGCAGAGACAGACGGTGCACCTCCAAAAGAGACAGCTCAGTGTCTCCTGGGCTTGGACAGTTGTCAGAAAGTTTGGTGCAATATGATTATGATTTTTTTTTGGACAGGGAAACCTCAGGACTTCAGAACACTCAGAACATCAGACCCCAGAGGCCTAAGGACGGACCCTGCCCACCCAATCAGACCCCACCTCACAGAAAAACGTCTTGACACCTCAGGGCCCTTCAAGACCAACTAGAATTAATACCAGCAATCATGACTAACAGCCTTAGCAGGAGAGCATAGACTTCAGTCAAAAGGTCCTGGGTTGAAGTTCTGACCCAAACAATGGATACACATGAATGAATGAAAGAATGAATGGTGGGCAAATGGGCTTTTCACTCCCATTCTACAAGTCTTTACCATGCATTTCCAGGACACCCAGCCTTGTCCTGCAAAAGGCCAGGACCCCAGAGAGGTTTCAGCCTGGCCTGACCTCCAACAAGCTTCCAGCCTCGTGGGAGAGATAGAGCCTGACATGGACGCTCTCACTCTTATTATTGCTCAGACCAATAAGAAGTCGCATGCAGCCAGGACATTGAGAAAGGAGCCAAGGAGGAGGAGGGATCAGGATAGAGGAAGGATGCCGGGCCCAAAGAGAGAGGAAGTGGAGTTCCAGAATGTTAGACGGCATGTGACCAGCGACTGTTACACACTGACCAGGCAGGAAGTTGGGCTCAACAACCTAGATAATGAAGGGCAGCAGGGGGCTGATCCTGCCTCACAGACCTTTCATTTCTGTTTTGATTTGTTTTGTATACATCCAGAGATGGGGAGGTGTAGCGTGCCCCACGTTTTCTTTGGGTGACATGAGAGGACAAATAACACAGACAACACAGACAGACAGACAATGGCTGCAGCCCTGATGTGGCGCAGCACTTTTATTTTTATACTGCCTTTCTCGGACCTCAGCCAAGTGCTATACTCATCTTTCCCTTCTCCCAGGGGGGGACAGGCCAGAGCACCTTGTTGATTTTCTTAACATCTGCCCAGTAAGCAGGGGCGGTGTTATCACACATCCTCAAAGATCTCCCTGTTTTCAGAGTGAGGCTTCTTGGCTCGTTTTCAAAGACAAGATATGCTTCCGTGGGCAGATAACGTCCAAGGACGCCACCAGTTGTTCTCAAGCTAGTGCTTTCCCATGCTGCGTTCAGACATGGGGGAAGGAGCTTTCCCATTCCGCCTTCAGACATGTGAGAAGACAAAGGCCATCCCCATCAGGGAGGTCACTCCCAAGAAAGACAGCCCAGCCCTTCCTGGGCATGGGCAACCGTCAAAAAGTTTGATGCAACATGACATTTCAATTAGTAGCCACCATAGGTAAAAGGGCTGGGTGAGATTTCTGGGGGGAAGGAGGGATACCCATGTGACCCTGGCAGTCCCTGCCACAGGCTGGATGTGGAATCAGACCCACTTGGGTATGAATCTCCTCTCTACCACTTAGGGGCCTGGTGACTTCATCTCTCTGAGCCTGGTTTCTCTCCTTTGACATGAACATAGTAACAGCAACTGGAGTAAAATGCTGGCACACAGTAAATGCGTAAGTGCG